CAGCCTCCCAGCCGCACAGCGAAGGAGGAAGACGTCGACGGTCAGCCCCGGACGCCCAATCCGACCAGCCAGACCCCCAGCAAGCCCGCGGCCCCCAAGCCAGCTCCTGTAACCCCCACCAAGCTGCATCCGACCCCGCTACCCTCCTCCCCTGTCCACTACCCCGGACCCTCCCTACTTCACTCGCCTCAGCCTCAGGGCTCTCCGTACCGCAGCCAGAGGGCGCTGTTCCCCGCCCAGCCTCAGAGCCAGCCCCCCCCTCAGGCTCAGACTGGCCTCGCTCCTTTCCCCCAGTATAACGCGCAGAGTGCCCCCCCCACCACCTCCCCCTCCTCCACCAGCACCCTCCGCCTCCACGGCATATTTCCCCACTCAGAGCCCCTCAGCGGCCGGACCTTTCCCCGTGTTTAAACCTGCCGTCACAGCCCCTTACCCCCCTGGCTCGCAGCCCCTGATGCAGACTATCCCCCTCAGCGTGCACTATCAGAGCGCAGCCGCTGCCCCTCCTCCTCCCCCTCCACCCCCGCACCCGATGCCCGGCCCCACCCTGCTGCACGTCAACATGCAGCCTCCTCCCATCCAGCAGCTCATGCTGACCGCCGCCCCCCCTCCCCCTCCTCCTCCGCAGGGACAGACTTCCCAGCAGCAGCCCACCGCTGGCAGCACCCTGCTATCCCTCACCCCCTCCTCCGCCCCCTCCTCCACCTCCCCCCCCCGCACCCTCGACCAACTCCTCGATGCAGCCCCTCCACTTTCAGACCTTAGGAGCTTTTCAACCGGCGTTGATGCACCCGGGCGCCACCGCCAACCCCTCAGTGCCCCCATCCTCGTACCCCCCAGCCCTTCAGCAGACAGGACTGCCTCCACCTCCCCCTCCTCCTCCCCAACAGACTCAACAAGGCCAGGCCCAGGTCCCTGCCTCCCAGATGCCTTCTGGGACTCGTGGAGCCCCTGCGTCCTCGGCCCCCTTCCACAGCTCGGGGTACCTGAGCACAGGGTGGCACTGACCGCCCCTGAGAACTCTGCCCGAGAGGGGCTTGTATCATAAGCTGTAGATATGTTTTCTATGTACCTGAACACGTGGCCAGTGGAAAAACAGCTGACGGTGGGATAAAAGGTTACTTTTTAAAAAAACAGCAAGGACGGAAAATGTTAGAAAAAAGGACAATGACAAACTGTATAAAAATGAAGATGGACGATCTCCCCTGGTGCTCATCGCCCTCTCTCTGGCCTCCGTTTGTTTTTATATATCCTTCCTGTGATGGAGAGGAAAACTGTTCTGTGTCTTGTTTGGACCCCTGTTGTAAGGCTCCGCACTTTGTTTATCAATGGACATTCCAGCCTATACCCCCCTCTTCCTCATCCTCTTCCTCCTTTGTCAGTTATTCCTTTTACACCCTTTTCTCTCTCGTCTATTGTCGGCTCTCTTCACCATTTATTTGTTTTTATCTAGTGGCTCATTATAGCAAAGAGAAAGCTTTTTGTATAGAGAAAAAACACAATTATTTTTTGTATTCCTCTGTCTAACAACGTATATCTGTTCACCGCTGCAGATTCAGAAAAGACTCGTTACTGGTAGCCTGCGTCACCAACCCGGAAGGCTGCACTGTGTGTGTGTGTGTGTGTGTGTGTAAGAGTATGTCTGCTTAAAGAGTGTATGTGTGTGTGTGTGATTTCTTGTGAGTGCTTTTAGTCTTCTGAGGTAGGCAGAGTTGTCTCGCCCACAGGTAGGACGTTAGCGGTTTATTTTTGAATATCAATGGTTATTTGTAGAAAGTGTAATTTAATGTATAGGAGGTTACTCCAGCTTTCACCAGGAACAGGTTGTAAATAATCGCTTCTTTTCTTTTCTATGCTGGTACAAATTGCTCCCATCCCATTTTTGGAAATATGGTTGTAAATACGAACGCTCTTCTTGGCAAGGCTGAATGTTTCTGTGACTGTAGCATTTTCATTTCTTTCTCTTCTGGACTCTTCAACTTTGTCTTTTTTTTATTATTTTTGTGTGTGAGTGTATGTTTGTGTGGAGGGGAGAGACTCACAGACACTGCACTGGTTGGCTATTTTCATGGTTCATTATAATAAATCACTGTAATGACAGTTTTATACAACTCGTTGTGTCATGTGTCTCTGGGAAACGTGTGTGTGTTGCTTTAGCTGCAAACACACAGCATTCTACCTTCAGGGGGAAAAGGCGGTTACCTTTTACACTGTAAGGTAGTATGTTAGAAACCAGCAAGTCGCAGTACGTTACGTCAACATTATCATGGAAAAAAGTGTGTCGTCTGGAAATAATAATAGAAGAAGTCATGGTAAGATTTGCAAAAGAGTCAAAGTATAGTGTCAAAAATATTTTTTTTTTAGAAAGTCAGTGAAATATATGGAAAATGTGAGAAAGTCAGCATAATATGCAGGGAAAAAAACATAATGAAATATGTTAAATATTTTTTAAAAGTCGAAATGTTCAGAAAGGAAAGACAAACATCGAAAGCTTTATGGAGATGCAGATTTTAATCCAGCAGGACTTGGCCCCTGCCCACACTGCCAAAAGAAACAATACCTGGTTTTATGACAGGGAATTACTATGCTTGACCTGACCTGAACCTTCATGGGGTCTCGAGGAAGATGAGAAACGGAAGACCAACAATGCCGAAGAGCTGAAGGCCGCCATCGAAGCAGCCTGGGCTTCCATCGCCTCAGCAGAGCCACAGGCTGGTCGCCGCGGTGATCCATGCTAAATGAGGCCCAACCAAGTACTGTGCATACATACTTTTCAGAAGGTCGACATTTCTGTAGTAATAAACAGGTGTTTGTATGGTCTTGTGTAATATTTGAATTTTCTGAGATACTGAATTTGGGGTTTTCATTAGCTGTAAACTGTAATCATCCAGATTAAAACAAAAAACACTTTAAATAATTCACTCTACACACTGTGTAGTTTCACCTTTTAAATTATAAAGCACTTGGTTGTAATTTTACTTCAGATTTTATTTGATATTATATATATTTGCATATTTTCGACATGCTATACTTGTATATTTTATTTTCAACATACTACTATGCCTTTTTTTTGCAAAATTCGACAAACTATACCTGTATATGTATAGTTTGTCGTTTTTGTCATATTTGCAACATACTATACTGTTTTTTTTTTTTATATTCGACATAATATACTGTAATTTTTTTGCATATTTTCAACATACTATACTATGCAGTGGCGAGCCGTGACTTTTATAGCTAGACTTTTTTACTCTCTCGTTGAGTTACTATAGCGGGCCCTCTGTGAATTCATAGCTGGACCACCAATCAGCTCCTGTCTTCACAGTAACTCGCAGAGACGAGCTTCTTTCATTTAACCCTTCACATTCAAACAGAAACTGAATAGGCAGATTCGAAGGATTTATTTATTTGGAAATGTTATTTTAAATACAATTGAATCAAGTTATTTTGGTAAAAGTAATGAAAAATATAACAAAAAATTAATGTTTTTAAATATTTTGTAGAATATCTCGGCTCGCCACTGGATACTATGTAATTTCTTTGCAAATATTCGACACTAGCCTACTATGTTTTTTTTAATTAAATATTTGACATATTTTTCCAACAGCATACCATACTGTCGTTTTAAAAAAATATATAATCGACATACTATACTATGTGTTATTTTGCAAATGTTTGACATACTATACGTCATTTTTTCTGCTATTTTCGACATATGCCGTTTTATGTCACGTTTTAGACTTACTATACTATGATGCTTTTTTGAAATATTCGACATACTATACTATGCCTTTTTTTCTGATATTTTTTGACATACTATGTAATTTTTAATGAAATATTCGAGATACTATTGTGTCGTTTTTTTTTTTAAATAATCAACATACTCTATGCCTTTTATTGCATATTTTCGACATACTATACCATGTCCTTTTTGGGCTTTTTTTCGAAATACTAAACTATGTCGTTATTTTGCATATTTTCAAAATATGTTTTTTTTGTGGAAATATTCAACATACTATCAAATCTATACTGTGTATATATAGATATATTTTTAATTACAAAGCTATGTGTTACACTGATTACTAACCAGGAAGGGGGAGATAGCATTGTTTCTATTTGTGAACTTTCTATGTGTTTTTGTGAAGCACTTTGTGTTGCCACTGTGTCTTGATATCCAACCTAAAACTAACTTTACCAATGTTTGTTTAGCTATGAAATGGCCTTCATGGCTGTGCGACTGAAAAAACGACAGGAAACGAGATGGCAGGTAACAAACAGCCGTATCCAGCTTCAGTTTATGTTCAGTACTCCACAATACTGTCAAATTACAAGATACTGTATGGCACACACTAATAAAGGACCAATAGCTTGACACAAAGTGTACATTTCAAATCAATGTACAGGGACATAATAAACATACACACATATTTTAGACTCGATACAATTCATGTTTTTTTCTTCTACTTAGTATCCATTTTGCAAAGTTGTCACTAGCAACACCTTAAATTACTACCATTGAATTTATCACATCAAACATTTATTTTGAACAAAGCAGTACTGTTGTTTCTGTTCCGTTTATCAAGTGCATGTTCTTTAGTCCTCACTCTGTGTCAAAGCCCAGGACAAAGTGTGTTGTCTTGATAAGAAAGAAGATCTAACCTCAAGTCTGTTAAGTCCTTATTTCTGTCCGTCAGAGACTGGATCATTTCTTGTGATTGTAATCTATTTAAGCAGCTGTTGCTCCGTGGTGTGTGGGAGCTGATATGTCCTTCAATAGTCTTTTTAATATTTTCTTCTCCATCTGAACCTTTTCACCTTTTTGCTTTCCTCTCATCCAAACGGACAAACATGTCAATCTGAACGTTAGATAATGCAGCGACATACCAACACAGGTAATCTTAAAAAAGTTATTTTATGAATCCATCCTGTAAAAAGGAGCAGTTTGAGATGAATGAGAAGGATATTTTACAGAGGGGGAGGGGGGGGGGGGGGGGGGGGGGCTTTCAGAGAAGACAGCCGGCATCCTGGTCTCCACCAAAGTGATGTGGGCTCTTCCAGACAGACCTGACCTTTGACCTGTTCTTTCCCCACACATCAGCTCTGCTTCCCAGCCACAGGTTGGACCAGGAGAGATGCTGGATCCTGACGTTTCATCATGTTTAGGTAACAAGACCTGCAGCAAAAGGGAATTATTTAGAATCTGCTGGCATTCATGTTGTGTAAAATCAATATGAAGCAGATATTCCCTCTGGTTTGCACATTAGTTCACTGATAAAGCCTTTAAAAGGTATTTGCTTTGTATGGGTTTGAAAAATATAAAGGGTGTACTCGCATACAGACATCATCCAATTATTGCACAAAAGGGCTAATAAACATGCTTTTAAATTGTGAATATTTATTTAAAGCTTCTTAAATTCAATAACACAGCATCAGCCGGTAGGCACCTGCAGATAAGGAACAAATACATTTGGATATGCCAAATCTACCACCATCAAAGTGATTATTGTTATTTTGTTATTTAAGTGCTGATTTATGTAAAAATAGCCAGGTTAAAATCCAAATAAACAAAGTCGTTACATGATGATTATTTTTGATCCGATTATGAATACATATTTTGAATTGATTGTGATTACTGCTGCTTTTTATGATAGCATGTGGTTGCAGGAAATATGTTCTGCTAGATCAGAAATGATCAACTCTGCAAACAAGCTCAGTTGAAACCAATCAAACACTATTTTATCATCAAAAAAACTTTCCAGAGATCCTAAACATATCTGCCAAAACTTTAGTATGATCCTTACCTCTTTGTGCTTGATCATCACCAGGTATTATATGGCGTTACTGCCGCTCTCTGTGGGTAAAAACAAAGAGAACAATTCAGCATGGACAGGATAGATACCCATCTACTTAAACAGCAGGTGGCAGTGTTACATCAATCATCTTCCCCCCTAAAGGATGCATGAATTAAAACAAACACGTTGATGTTTGTGGACAGGTGTCACTATCCATTCTCCTTAATTGACAAGACAGGAAAACATCCCATTTAAACTTGATCTCCTGTTTGATGAATCCCCCATGTTTCACTTTGATTTGCAATACTTCACGCACATCTGTCTCCCTCCTCCTCGGCTCATTATCCTTCTCCGTCTTGTCCTTCCCTCTTTATAATGGCTTCTTCCTCCTAGCCTTTTTTGCCTATAGGAGCTAACAGGCTGATAGTCTGGCTGTGATTCATTTCGACAGGCTGGCAGCAAGCTGTGTAAACAGTCATTAGTAATTCATGACTCCGTCCAGCGTCCCCAGGCTTCAATTAACCCTTGCTATCGGTGTGAGTTCATTCATTTTCATTTTTTTCTTCCTGTCTCCGTCTCTCCTCTCATTGCTTCTCATCTCTGCCCTTCTTCATCAGTATTCTCCTCTCCTCCCTGCCTCCTTCAATGTTCTTTGGGTCTGAGTCCAGGTGGTGTATTACAACCATTAAATGAATAATTTCAGAGTGGGAAATTAGGATTTCCATATCAAGTTGTTGGCTGATGTACGGAGCCATACTAGAAAGGCTTATTGAGCACTAAATGATAGAGGTGTGGATACAAGTCACACATTTAACTCATTGACTCAAAAAACACTGACTTAGCCTGGACCTGAGCATTACAACTTTGAAGAATTATTATATCGAGCCAAAAGTGGAATACAATTCAGATTCGGGGCACACGTTCAGGCCAAATGGATTTTCTAATAAGTTCAGGGAAAATAGCCTGAATCTCATTTCAGGTTTTAATTCACTACAGCTTTTATTTTATTGTTAATTAAAAAATGTACTACCAATCTTTTTGTGTTTCCAATTTGAAATGGCAACACATCTAGTGGAGAAGGTGTTATGAGCTTTAGATTTGAAATTTTTTAGCTCCGTTTTTGCAAGGGCTGATTCTGTGAGAACAGCACCACCTACAGGCCTGGCATATGTACTACAGCGTCTCCAGCGCTTTCGAACGGCAATGGCCATGGCTGTCTCCTCCTGATTGGTGGAGTTGGCCCAATAGCCGTAGCGCCACTTCTGTGACGTCATAGAAGTGTTCAAATCTGGATCAGTTTTTATCAGATCCGTTGCAGCCCCTTTTTTAGAGATTTGGGTATGGAGGAAAATAGAGAGGGTTGTGTTTTCTGACACTTGGTGAGTTCCCTGGAACACCGGGGACACATATTCATGTATAAAAGACGTACAAAAGTGCATTTTGCATGATAGGTCCCCTTTAAGTAATGTATTTGTTGCACCACTATTACTGCCGCTTTTCTTGGTCTACTCAGTTCCTTTGGAGATGAAAATGCCACTTGCCTGACCATGAAAACTGTACACAATAGTCTCCTTGCTTCCCTACAGCACCGTCTAAACTCTGTGTCCTCTTCTGTTTTATGACCCATGAAGGTTTTATTCTCTTACTTTCCCCCAGCAGCTCGTCAGACATCAGACCGTCCTGCCGGTTCCCCAGGACGAAGGCCAGGAAGGAGAGGATGAGGGCGTCCATGATGCCCATGATGGCCAGGATGTAGGCCCAGCGCACCGAGCAAGCCCCCAGCGTGTATTTGTCCGTCTCTTCGCCGCACATCCGCTTCACCTCGTCACTGTCCCAGCCGTCAGGGTAGATCATGCAGCCCAGGACCAGAGAGGTTCCTGCAGCGAGGGGAGAGGGAGAGGGGTGAGGGGCTTAATGGGCTGGAAAGGGACTTTATGTTACATTTGGGATACTCTGCAAACCTCAATCTATAAAAAGGCATGCCTGGTATGAAGTGCAAGGACACATTTACCTTTAAGATTTAAGAATAGTTAATCAAATACAAATTCACAGAGGATAATGTGTATCAGCAGAGGATCTAACTGTTGCAGTACAAGCAGGTTTACTTTGAGAAACAGGATCAAATAATACATATATTTTTATTTATTTTTTATTTGCATTTTAAGAATTGAATTGGTTACAGGGCATACAAAACAAAATGAAGTGTGTGATGGAAACGTCTGAAGCAATGGAGACAGGAGTCAGAGAGACACGGAGAGAGCTGGAGCTTTGATGGCAAACACTGACGGTTTATTTGGAGCTTCGGCCGGAGAATTCACAAGACATGTGCTGAGCCACGAGTTGACACAGCGGATGCGAAACCAATTCTGAAGAACTCTTCTGTAGTTCGAGGTTTCAACTAGTTCAGAGTGTAATAGACAACATTCCTCATCAGCGAGACTAAACAAATATGGACCCTGAATCTAACTAGAGCTGTCGTCCATAGAAAATAATGAACCGTAAACTACCTCATGGCGGCTTGTGCTCTGTCAGACTGGCAACAACAATGCGCCCAAGCTGCTCCTCCTTAAGAGAGATAGCAGCAGTGGCGTTTCTATGTGTACAAAACTGGGGGGGCAGAGAGAGGTGGGGGGAGAGAGAGAGGGGGGGGGGGGAACAGAGAGGAGAGAGGGAGCGAGGGAGAGAGAGAGAGAGAGGGTGGTGAGAGAGAGAGGGAGGGGGACAGAGGAGATGTTGGGGGGACAGAGAGAGAGAGGTGGGGAGAGAGAGAGAGGATGGGGGAGAGAGAGAGAGGGGGAGAGAGAGAGAGAGGGGGGGGGGAGAGAGAGAGAGAGGGGGGGGGGGAGAGAGGAGAGAGGGGGGAGGAGAGGGGAGAAGTGTCACATTTACATACTGAAGACCACACGGGAGAGCCAACACTGTCAGCGCATAACATTTACGTACACTGTGTACGTAAATGGTACGGTACCCAGCGTGGGGATGTTCATATTGTAATCACCCTACTTAATTACATAAGTAAGGGCACCATCACCAAAGCAATTCTTAACAACAACAACAACCACCATAATACTTTAGCATTAAAACACCATAGACTGTAAATATAAGGAAAACACAGACACTCATCACCGAGGTCACAATATCAATCGATCCAGCAGAGGCAAAACACAGAAGATCAACAAAATATATGAACTTACCAAAGCTGAAGGCTCACTTGAAAAGAAAAGCGGCACGGCGGTCCTTCCTCTGACAGAATGTTTCTATCACTTTGGGGATGAAGTCCTGTAGTTGCTGGATCAACTGGCTTTCAATTGAAAGCATGGCCAATGCGTTAAGTCGCAGCTGTCCCATGGTGTTGCGAGTGAAAGTCTTTATCCTTTTGAGGGTGGAAAAGTTCCTCTCTGACTCGGATGTCGTCATCGGAGTTGTTACTATTATTTTGACCAAAATAACAGTCTCAGCAAACGTATCCTCCAAGTTGTTCTCGTGAATGGATTTCAACAGAGACAGGGCAGTGTTTCCAGTTTTCCAGACTTCAACTTCTCCTTGTTTCCCAAAGCAGGCCACAATTTCACTGCGCAGTCAAGCTCAGGTGTAGGAAATGACAGGACATGCTGTGGGAAGAATGAGCTGTCAACGAGCTTTGCAGCGATCAAATGGTCACTGTGAGAACCTCTGTTCCACCTGTGAGATGACTGTGTCACATGCCTCCTTCATTACCGGCGCTGTGCTGCTGACTCATCGGCCTGGCTCGTCTGTTCCATCATGAGTGGTGGCGGCCAATGCATCAGTTTGCTGCCTCATTTTCTGGACATTTTCCTTGAAGCGGCAGAGCGCGCTGTTGATCCCAGGTGCATCGATGGTTCGTTTTTGCAGAGTGTTGTATAAAACATCCACTTCTGGCATAAGCAACGAAAAAAACTCCAGGAGCTGCATAAATGCTCGGTCCCGCAGTTTCTTTGACAGGCCGTATGCCTCACTTATGGTGACCGCATCCCATCCTGGTTGTGTGCGTATATGGTCCATACACTGAAGAAGTGCTTCTCGGGTCTCCCAAACCGCGTTCACAGTTCTGCTTTTAAAGTTCCATCTCACAGCCGGTGGCCGTGGTATGCGTCTCTGTGTTGCCTCTGCAAGAGCTGCAACACGTTTTGGAGCACCGGAGAAAAAAGTGGAAAAAGCAGTTAGATCTGCAAAAAACACCTTCAGGATGCTCATCCTTGCTGAACACAGTTGCTGCAGGGTCAGGTTCAGTTGGTGGGCGTAGCAGTGAACAAACTGAGCGTTTGGGTACGTCTCCTTCATGACCGTCTGTACCCCGCGCACGTTACCGCTCATGACGGCCGCCCCGTCATAGGTCTGAGCGATTAGCTTTTCTTTCAGCTTCAGGGGTTCAAGAACAGCCTTGATGCTGTTAGAGAGACCTACACCAGTTTTGTCCTTTACTTCTTCCACAAACTCCAAAAAAAACGCTCTGTAACTGTGAGGTCAGGCATAATGTATCGCAGCACAATCACCATTTGCGATTTACATGAGACATCGGTTGTCTCGTCGGCCTGAACGGCAACAAATGATGTGTTGTCCACTTGCTTGGATATTTCCTCCCTGTACACATCATACATGCAGTCCAAGAGTTCATTCTGTATGGTGCTTGATGTCCCTTTGAAAACGGGCTGAGCTTCGTAGTGCCGTCGAAGCCTGGAATCGCCCTCACACATTGTCTCGAAAATTGACCTGAATATCCCTGGATTCAGAGAGTCCGCCGACTCGTCGTGGCCCCGCAGTGCTGTCTCACATTTCCCACACAGTTTAATACAGGTGATGATCCGACCCAACACGTACCTGTTTTCTTCCACCTTTCTATTATGATCATCAATGCCGCGTCTGTAGGCGCTGTCAATCTGAGCTGCAACATTCACCCTTCCCAGTAATCCCAATTTTACGGCATTTTCCAAGTGACTGTTGCTGCTCTCATGCTTCATTGTCCTCTCCGAAAGATGCTTTAAGTCCTTGTAACCTGTCCTCGACCAAGTACCTTGATCTTCACCAAAAAGCAGGCAAGGAAAGCAAAAGAGGGAATTCTTCTGGATGCTCGCCGTTAGCCATTTCTTTTTAGCAAACCACTCAGCATTAAACCCGCGGTTCACTTTGCCCGCAGTCTGGACCATTTGGAAATCCGGTGGATGGTGGGCACCGAGGCGCTTTACCTCCAGTTTCTCTCCGAGACGGGCCGTCTCCACGGCAGCGTTAAAAAATCTTGAAACGCTTCTGCCCATTCACTTTGAATGGGGTGACGTCACTTTTTTTCGCTTTCGCCGAAATGCATTGTGGGCAGGCGAGCGGAGATTCTCAGGATTTTCAAGATCCAAAGTTGAACAATGTTCAACTTTTGAAGCTGAGGAGGAAGCGTCAGCCAATCAAATCCCGTGTACGCAAATCTGACAGTTCAAGCTCTAGCCAATCAAACGGCGTGTATGCTGGGAGAGACATACCACAGATCATTTCCTCATATTCCAAAAAATGGAGGAGAAATTAGCGGTAGCGAATCAATCACCCGGTGCTTTATGACCAGACCTACCGGGATATAAACCAGAGGAGCCAGGCATGGAGGGAGGTGGCAGAGACAGTGGTATGTTTTCGCCTGTTTTGGGGAGTTTATATCCAGTTTACTTCGGGCTTTTTGGCTTCGTATGTCGCGGGCGGGAGATTCATGTGATTGGTTGATCGCAAAAAAATCCCCAAGCTTCAGATACGCCCACCTCCAAGATTTTTTTAACGCTGCCGTGGAGACGGCCCGTTAGTGTCTCAAATGTGTGCTCCAGTAAATTGTCAACTTCATTCATTTTCTTTCCGTTTTTTACTTATTTTTAATCGCTGGTGATGTTAGCTATATGCTGCTCTCTCGTCTTCTCTTCACACTACACGTGACGTTTCGCAGCACTGCACACGTGACATATTTACAGCCAATCAGTTCTGAATAATGTGAGCTGACGTATGGTGGGGATGGCAGCTCTGTGCCCCTTTGGCCTTTTTTTTTTTGCCACACACATTCCATTGAAAAATACTCTGAGCATGCGCAGTGTAGTTTTTACAGTCACCGTTCACTTTGACAGTGAGAGGGTGGGGCATGATCAGGTTTTGTCCCACATGGCTCAAAACGGCACTGTAGACACTAATTAGAAGAACACAGACTAAAACAGCAATGTACAGACGAATCAGATGATTAAACATGACCTTAAAATATATTTTATATATTTTTTTATTTCTTTTTTTGCATCTTTTTGCATTTTTTGTTTTCATTATGTGTAATACTTTCTGCTGACACTAGGTGGGGCTGTGCCCCACCTGCCCCTAATGACCAGTCGCCACTGGATAGCAGCAATACCCAAGGCCGTAGACCTATGCCATGGGAAAGGAGACAGTAAAGAGAGAAAACGATGAACTGGGTCGAAGGTTGAATACCTAAGCAAATTATTCCCTAACAGTATGGATAAAACTTAACAATAAAAAGAATAATCCACAAATCAGAGATTCTATAAAATAAATATTGTTATTTATAAAAAACGTGTAGAAGAGAGAAAGCAGAAAGAGATTAGGTGACAGCAAAGCCTTAATAGGACGGAGAGGTGAGGGAGGAGGCAGAAGGAGAGAGAATATTTTCTACGCTTCACAATGTCGTGCGTCCGGCTGTCTTCATTACAGTGACAGACTGAGCTTTTAGAGAGCTCTTACACACACTGATGCTGTGGTCACACTCACAGTTGGTCCAGGCAGCAACTGATTCACAGCTCTGAGAGCTCTGTATTTAATTGTGGACAATTCTGCCTAAAGATGAGTCTGTCAAGTAATTAAAACTGTCACCTAATAGTAGTATAACATA